CCCTATACCAACTCCTAACCCGCCGGGTAGAGCCTTCTAAAATACCCGACCAAATAACCACCGGGTATGAAAATTATATAACCATACCCTACCCACCGGGTAACCACGGGTATTCGGGTAACCATGGATACGAATCCTAAACTATGAACTTATCCACATATATGCACATACATATTGTTGTCCATTAAAAATTCTCAATACTTCTAATTTTTCTAGCTTCAACAATCCACACAAATAAAAACAACAAAAACATAATAATTGTTCTTGCTTCTACAATCCACACAAACATAATAATCGTCTACATCTTCATCATCAATAATGGTAGCTAAACCAAATTTCTCAAGCTAAACTAAATTTCTCAAGGGAAATTGACCCTTTGGTTAGCGGGGCGGGTATAATGGGGCGGCTATTATCGATTATCATACCCGTACCCTACCCTTTATTTTGAAACAGGGTTTTACCCGTACCCGCCCCTTAACCCGTCAAAGAGGGTAATTACCCTCGTTGACTGGTTACGGTCGGGTAGGGTACCCATGGTTACGGGTTGGATTGACATCCCTATAGACGTCAAACAGTTACTTGGGGGAAACTTGTGTGGCGTTCAGGTCTGATTCCTAGAAGTGGAATCCAAGTGTTTGTGACCTATGTCTTTATGTGTGACCTATGTCCTTTATGTCTGTATCTTAGATAGCACTATTAGCATTTCTATTCGGGGTTGTTTTGATGGGTTAATTGTCAATGTGGTATTTGTAGAGTCAAATAACTCATTTATTGTTCATGTGGTATTTCAGTGTTATTTCAGTGATAATTGAAATAAAGTATCTCGTTTGGTTGAACCATGCAAATGTGGTATTTGACATGTAGTATTTTGTAAAAGCAGAGTGATAAAATGAGTTATTTCGAAATAACACATGTATATAAGTTATTTCAAATAACTCGTTTTGAGTTATTTGTAAATAATTCACTGTCCAAATAACTCATTTCAGTAAAACGCTGCCAAACGAGTTATTTGCGTCCAAATAACTCATTGTGAGTTATTTGAACCCAAATAACTCATACAAATACTCCATCCAAACGACCCCTTCTTTTGTTGATTTGCTGGTATTTTGATGAAATAAAATCAAACCCATTCATAAAAAACCCATAAACTATCACTTAAAATGAGAGTGGTTGGAATATCGCAATTTTTTGCTGAGATTGTCGAGATTGTCGAGATGAGATTGTTTTACCTAACCTTTTAGCTGATACGACATACACAATTACACATACCAATGACTGTATTTTACAATGCATCAAATTCATCAGTAAACGAATTCACAACAATACATATAATATTTAACAATGACAACTTTCAAACGAACTCTGATTTCTTGTTTTAACTATATCGTCTTCCCTCCGATGCTCGACTATGAATTCATCAAATAAATAAGCAGATGTCTACATAGTTTATGTAAAGTATAATGAAAACATCCAATATGATCTACCATCTTTCTCGTGATCCAGAACTCATTAACTATGCTCGCTCAATCCTGAGAAGGTTTATAGGTCCAATTTGTGCTCTTAATATGACAACTCAATCGTGCTCAATGAAATTATCATACTTCGTGTCTTGCTGATCCAAAAGAAATGGGAATATGTTTGATCTAGTTTGCCCAAATATATATGGGGGCACATGACATTTATGAAGGGAGGAAAGGAAGAGGAAGAACTTGGAATGGGAAGGAAAACACCACACGTGCGGTGGCACGCGTAGACAATTATTTGAGGGGTATCGTTCCCACACAGACTAGTCCAACCTCCATATATTTTGGGAAGGTTCTTACAAGATTTACACAAATACGTACGCCAACGCGAGAGAGGTTTACAATCCATGCAAATTCTCTCATCTCGTGTTACTTCTCACTTTTTTTTTTGGGTAGAATGTTACTTCTCACTTTGATATTTTTTCCCCTCCTTTGTCATTTTAAAAGGAAAAGCTATGATGGGAAATTTATAATCGAGGAGATAATATAATTATATACTTACTTTAATGAATCTATAACTAGTAATTAATTTAAAGGCAATTGAGTAAAGGGTTCCCCTCACTCTATTTTTTTAGTTGTTCTTTTTTGGTAGAGGTTCATATGACACTACCTTTTTGTTTGGTTTGTTTGGTCTTCATTTGCAGAAAATGGATAGAAAGAGATATTTTTCATTGGAGAATGAGTGAGTGTTAATGTCGCACGGGAGAGGAAAGTTAGAAGCCATGATGAATTGATGAAATCCATTGAGTGGGGGCAGGAGGAAAACTCATAGAGAGAAGAAAAACCCCACCACAAGAGAGAATCCAAACAACAAAAAATTCAATGATTGAAATACCGTATTGGAGGTGGTACCGGAAGAAAAGTCTGCAGTAGGATATTTTATGTTAAAATCGTGGTTTAACCGCGGTTCAATTGCTTAATACCACTAAATATCGTCGGTACGGTATGGTATTTTCTGGTCGAACCGCCAGTACGGTACGGTATTTCAATCCTTGAAAAATTCCAATTAACTTTCAACTATTCATTGTTCACAAGGTTGTCAACCCGCGGGTTGACCCCCGGACTCGGTCGAGCTAGTGGGTCAAGGGTTAACGGTTCACCCGTTTTAGTCCGGAAATATGGAAAGAGACATTATATTGTACTTATCCTTATAAATTATATCAAATTTCATCTAACATATGAGTAAATAACATATAACATTACACCAAAGTAACATGTCGTACTTAGATACAACATATAGTGAAAATTCACACACACACACTTATATAACATCAATATTCAAAGTTTCAACTAAGGATTCCAAAGATAGAGTTAGGCGAAAAGAAAAATCGATAAATAAGCGCATTTCACAAACAAACAAAAAAAAAATAATCAATTTGAACCCGATACCTTGTAGCGATCGACCCGGCGGGTGCGTGCGACCATTTTTCTCACTAGGTCAGGGTCAAACTGGGTTGACCCGCGGGTTGACAACCTTGATTGTTCATGTTCCTTTTAACTACTAGGGCATGATTTCTTGATTTCAAGCCAGAAACTAATTATGGTCAATCTTTGCAAATTCAATCGCTTTTCCATGTGATCTAAGTGTACCATAATTAACCAAGTTTTTAATTTTAAAATAATTCATCATCTCAAATATTACAATTTTAATTGGGAACCACTATAAGACTATAAAAACTAAAAACTAAAAAAATACACAATTATCCCGTCAAATAGGGGTGGGGCAACGGGACGGGACAGGGTACTCGTCCCATTTTAAACGGGTACCCAGTCCCATTTGAAGACCAAATTCCATCCCATATCCCAAATCCATACGGAAAACGGGTACCCATTACCCGTACGGGACGGATGACGGGTACCCATACTACCCATAAATACCCAAAGTTTAAACCACTAAAATTTTAACAAAAGTTTTAACTTAACTTGTATTTGCTTAACAATCACAAGACACAAAATACATCCCAATCACAAATACTTGGTTTGCAAATTACACATTCATGAACAATCACAACACATAGAAATAAATCATTCCAAGCACCAAATTATCAAAAAAGAAGTTTCATTCAACACAACCAAATGGGAGGCATGCTGCTACTTTCTGCAAGCTGCTGCTGCAGTTCTGCCTTCTCCAGGCTGCTGATGCCGTTCTCCCTTCTGCAGGCTGTTGCTGCCATTATCCCTTATGTAGCTGCAACTGTCCTTCACTTGCTTCTGTCCTGCAAAGAAGAATAATTAGGAGCAATATTGGGATGATCCAAGTTCCTTAATTAAGTACACAATAATCCCTGGCTGTAAATGGACACTCGTTGCCTCATTTCAAACACATCCCAACTCTCTCTACTAATTCACCAAACATGTCAGTGAAAGAGTGAAAGGGTAAGGGCCCAAATGGAATTGAAAGGGTAAGGGTAAGGGTCGAAATGGCCAAATGGGTTTTGAATTGGACTGGACTGAATTAAATTTCTGCATTTGTATTGAATGGGTATAACGGGTACCCATATTACCCAAACGGGTATTCGCGGGTAACCCGCGGGTACCCATATTAGGAATGTACAATCCCAAGTCCCATCCGTTTATAATATTACGGGTAATATGGGTACCCGTAACCTTTAAAAAACACGATGGGTACGAGTATATCCAAATACCCGTTTCCCGTTGCCCACCCCAGTGTCAAAGGAGGATTCTACGAAGAAACTTGTGTAGAAATGATAAAAGAAAGAAAATTATGAGGAAACATGACAAAGTGAAAAAAAAACTTCATACGTTGTCAGCCAAATTATCGAAAGTGAAGAAAAGATGCAGAAGCGACATAACGTTAAAAAACATGAATAAGGAAAAACGATGAAATCAACAAAAAAAAAAAAAAAACGTGAAAAAAAATGGTGAGCAATCTACCGCATCCCACCATGTTTTAATTTTCCCCCTTACATATCTAACAGTTAGAATCTAACTAATAATGTTTGGCCGTCGTTATCACTTATCACAAGTCACAACAACACAATTTAAGTCTCCCTTCCCCTTCAAAAACTACGAAGCAGAGCTTTCAACCAAAGGAAGTATTTTTTTTTTTTTTTGGAAAGATCAACCAAAGGAATTAGAAGGTCAAAACAGAAACACATAACACCAAACTGTTTTTGTGATTTGAAGAACAGTGTGTAGGCCAGATTTTGCATTGACAATAAAAGGCAGAATTCGTGAACAGATTCATCCCCCCACACACCCAAAAAATGAAGTGAAAGAAAATTACTGTTCACAACCAACGCCGAAATAATAACCCCTGTCAGGCGCTGTTTGCTGTTAGGTGTTCACTGTGTTCCAAATCCAAACACAGTACTTTGTCTGATTTTCAGCAGTGGTCTTTGAGATGCCCACTTTCCCCAATTCTCCAAACCTTTCATCCCGAACCACAACCCACAACTCATCCGCTGACTAGTCGATACCAGTCGGTTTAAACCTTCACTTAGTTTCACCAAAACATCTTCGTTAAGGAGTGACAATTGCCTTATATTGACTCAAATTCGCTATGATACTATTGGCGTTCCCTTAACCGAGCCACAAAGTCATTTTTCATCAGGAAAGTGGTCCGAGCTTCTCCCATAACTTGAGAGCTCCAGGAGGGTTTTGTTCACCAAGCCTTGCTTATGAGACAATTAAGGGCTCACTCTTCAACAAGCACGCTGGGGAGCTCATGATTTCATGCTCCATTTAAGTCCCCCGACACGGGTGAAAGGGCTCACACACTTGCGAAACCTCGAATCTGAAGCATGTAACTAAGTGAAAAAGTCTCTAGCCAACTCATCCAGGGTTCATATATATACTTCAGCGATTCAGATCCGAAGGATAAAACTCCCCTAGATCCTATATGGCTATTTCTTTTTGAGTTTTTCGAAGTTACCTCTATGAGAAACCCACCAAAATCGAAACACTAGTCCTATTTGATCTCACAAACCCTACCTTGAAACGTTGTTCTCCCCCAGAAAACCCTCTATTTCCACAAACCAAAATTTCAGTTCACAGAAATCGCTACATCTGATTTACTTATCCAGCTCAAAGCATTCAATGGGCAACCATAATCCGCCCAGCGACTTGGTCGAGATCCCTCTGGCCATTCGAAGTGATCTTCGTCCCACTAGAGTGCCAATAAAACAGGGGGGAAAGAACCATTTCATCATGGTAATCATGCTATCTGATGAATTAGAGTGGAAATGTGAAAGTTATAACAGCAGTAATAACATGAACGAACTATTTGACTCACCCAGAGGGTTCGAGTTCAACAATGTTATTCAACTGCAGCTGGTGAAGAATGTGGCGAGCAATAGCACCGCTGCTCTTGCAGAAATGAGGGGGACGGCTTCCATTCCTCTTGCTTCCTCCGTAGATCCTACGAAAAGCACCGACACCAAGGCCTCCCACTCAGCTAGACCTTCCTTGCCATTGAGGCTGCAATCACAGCTCATAAATTCGACGAAGCTTTAGAAATCCCCGGTAACAATCCTACGAAATTATATGTTTTGAGCTGTAAGAGTTAGGTAGTAGGCCCGCGTGTAGAACATATGAGATACTCACCAGCTCTAATTTAGTACCAGTCGGAATCATAAGGGGCAAGTTCCTTCAGTTTACCAGTCTTCACAATATCGATCCATGGGGGCAGCTCAATCTAATTTGCAAAAATAAAGGATACAAAACAACAAAGAGCACATCTGTTAGCAACCCAAAAGCAAAAGATTTGAACTCAAACTTCTCTAATATGGCAACAAAACAGCTTATATTGAATCAGTCTCCTACTTAACAATTCAGCATAAGATATACAAATTCAACAACATAAAACTAGTTCCTTACAAACACACCGAAAACCTGAATGAATGGACAGACTAAGACCAGCCCATTATCACTAACCAACATTCTCAATCTGCTCCCCGCTGATGAAACTACGCAAGCAACCAGCCGATTGAGCTAAGGTAACTATTCACCAAACTGCTCCTTCAACGGCAACTAAGGCACTTGAGGCTCAAAATTTGAAGCCTCTGAAGTAGCAGATTCATCTAGGATCTCAGCAGCCAGAGTCTACTAGAAAAGAAAAAGAAAAAAAACACAAACTTTACAGGATTCCCATCACTTCTCTTCTCAACAACTAGTTTAAAAGTGTCCTATTGTCAACCATAACTCTAGCTGTAAGAAAAGCAGCGCAATAGCTTCTGGTTACAGAGAATGCCTAATTGTAAATCTTACCAGCAAGCAACCAATCGTCAAACTAGTCAATCGGCAGATAATTTCGACGACCGTATGTCCACCATCAAACTAATCAACTAACCCAGAATCGAAAATTACATTCCCAGTTTTGCAATTCAGTGAGGAGATGGGACATTGAATTACCTTGTCAGATCGCTTGGGGTGGGCGGCGTAAGCCTTGACGAACTCGTGAGGAGAGACATCCTTGACGGTCCCAGATTTGACGGCGACGTCACCAGCAGCAGGGGCAGCCATGTTTTTTATTCTGTTCTCCGAGGGCTTTGAGCGACGAAAGCTCTCACGATTTGCAGGACGAAGAAGGAAAGGAGAGAGAAAGAGCTGTAAGGGACGCGGAGGGAGCCCAATTTCTCATTCCCTGCAAGCCCACGGGCTATTGTGTAATATTCATCGGCCCATGACTTGCCAAATGAACCCAGGTATTTGGTTTTCTTGTGGATCAAAAATGCAAAGAATTAAGGCAAAATACATCTGTATAGCCATAACTTTCACACTTTTGACAAATATAGTCATTACTATTCGAAAACCACAAATAGCCCAAAAAATGGAGAGTAGTGTGACAAATCTAGCCAAAAAAGTTAGAAACTTTAACACCGTCTGCGGTTCCGTTAAATCTTTTGACGGAATGCTGACGAGGACGGAATCCGACCTCCACATCAGCGACACATAAGCCAAATGTACACGTGGAATGTCACGTCAATAAAGAATTATAAAAAATTCAATTTACATCCGTCGACTTCCCTTCCCTTCCCTTCCTCCGCCATCAACCTATCTCTCCGCCGCCCAAAATAAAAAAAAAATCTCCATCCACACACAGAGCCCTTCTAATAATCACAAACCCAAAACAAATCCTCTACACAACCATTGTTCGCCAGAAAACCCCCAAAATTATCCCTATTATTCTTACCAAGAACCCTTCCAATCAGCTTAAATCCCCTTTTCTTCTCCCAAATCTCCTTCCTCATAGCCATATCCTCGTCCAATTCCTCCAACCCCACTCCTTAATTAGATGCGTCGGCGATATGGCTTTTTCGATGGATTTGGGAAAGTGGAGGAAAAGGAAGGAAGAGGATGGAGCAATGGTGACGGTTGGAGTGTCGATCGCAGTGGATGGGAGCAACAGTGGCGGTGGATTGCGCTTAACCTCCACCTCGCTGTTTTCGGTTGTCGACGGCTGTTCTTGGAGTAGCATACCAGCAGCAGACTAGTAGATGAAAACAGATCTATTATGGGCGAGAATCCCGAATCCCTCATCGACAGGCTTCTTCTTCGTTGGAGATGAGTGAAGGTTGGAGGTGGAGGGTCGCATCATCGGCGGGCTTCTTCTTCGTCCTTACCATCAGCTCCAAAAGATGGAGAACGAAGGCCTATCGACATGCAACAACAACAATAACACCGATTCACAACTACAAAAAGACACAAGAGGAGGTAAGAATCGACATACACATAATCGAAACCCCAACCAACCTCTCTGCTCTCCCTGAAAAACTCACCAATCGCGCCAGAAATCACTTTCTACTGTGAAATTAGGGTTTTGGAGAATCGGCGAGAAAAGATTTTTCTAGGCTTCGTCGATGCTTTCTTCAGTATTAGGATGCTTGGTTGCGTCGGGAAACGGTGGCCGCCGGTGGATTAGTCAGGATGCATGCCAGAGTTCGTCATTGGAAGAGAGGCGAAATCGGGGATGATAATAGCTGAAGTTTTCGGGGTTGGGATGGGGATTTATAGACGATTAGGGTGACGAACGAAAACTGGAAGGGGGTTATCGGAGGAAGATCGGAAAAGGGGGACGGAATCAATCCATCATCGTCGTCTCGTGGTCGGAGAAAGAGAGGTGAAGGGGGGAAAGAAAACGAAGAGATAAGAAAGAATGGACGAGTGGTGGTGGCCAGCTGGATCGCTTTCATCTTTTGTTTTTTTTTTCATTTTTTTTCCACGTCTGTATTTCCACGTCGGATACATCTGGTAGCTCAGTGGCCAACTCAGCGATAGCCGTTAGTCCATTCATAAAGTATACTAACACCGTTACCTAAATGGACGGAAGTGGCTATTTGTGGTTTTCGAATAGTAATTGGCTATATTTGTCAAAAGTGTGAAAGTTATGGCTATACATGTGTATTTTGCCAAGAATTAAAGAACCCAGTTAAACCTTTTTTCTTAATCATTTCATACTATCATCAGCTAGGTGAGGTTAGTAATAAATTTTTTGCATTGTTTAAGAAACTCTGTCGTACTGGGCAGTCAGACCAGAAATATCGAATGTCGGCCAATATCGATACGATTTTAGTATAAAACTAGCGTGGGCCCCGGCCATTTGGCCGGAGGAAGATGAGGTATGAAATTTGATAATGTAATGGGGTGTATAGCTTATTGTTGTATATTTTTTTTGGGAAACACGTGATAAAAATAGTGAATTTTAGTAGGAAAGAGACATGAATGATGCAATGAATAAAAAATCAGTCTTATGAACCAAAATCAAGTACTTGTTACCTTGTGAAACAATATTGTTTATGGTAATATGATGAGGTGGAGTAAGTTTTATAGAAACCGAATTCCAGAAAATCGAATAAAAAATCGCCTATCCCGACGGTTTTCAGGAAATGAGCATCTCACAATTGTTGCTAGCTTTTACTTGACCCGTTGGACGATTAATTTGCTTTATAAAACTTTCATCTTGTCATCATTGTGTTTTCTGGTTTTTGCCAAGCAATGATAAAATCTAAAGAAATAAAAAATGAACAGCACGATTTGGGATAGGAACCACCGTTCGTGTATCCATAGAAAATGGTGGTAAACACGGACTCACCTGCCAAACTGGTTTGGATTGAGATTTTTATCGGGTATCAGGAAACCATGTGATTATAAATTAGACTTGATCAAAACGGGCCAAAACTTGAAATTCAGCATGTTTGACCGACCCATGCCAAACTCTAATTATTCTTTACTTTTAAACTTTTATTTGAAAATAAAAAATAATGAAAGAAAAGAGATGACTGCAATTCGCCATTTGCACATCACTGATTCGGGAATAAAGCTAAAGAATTTCGAAAGGAAACTGAAAATGTTTAAGATCGTTTTAATGTTAAAAATAACCAAATAGATCTTTCTGTTTAGTTTTTTACTAACAAATACCAAACGATTTCCTATAATATACACTATAATTTAATCATTATGATATCAAATAATTACATAATATATATATTTGAAATGATAAAAATTGGACTAATTGGATTGGTCGAGGTTGAACCATTGAATAACTTTAAAATACATTATATTTTAGCCACTAAGATATAAAATAATAGCATAATATATATTATGCTAGAGAAAATAGCTTGTTTTAGAATGAAAAACCCATGATGCTCATTTGTTTTACTTGATGGGAAAATCCCGTGTAGGTCAGACCCATTCAACTCTTTTATTTTATGATTAGCGGTTAGCCCATTAGAATCCATGCATTAGTTTATTGTTAAATTTTTTTCTTTTTAGTAATAAAAAGGAGTATTGTTTTTGCCTTTTCATATATATTTTACCACCACGGAGAAATAAAATGACTTAAAAAAATTGACACTCCTGGACTCGCTTAAATCCGCATGTGTACGGTAAGTTGGCCCATTTCACAGAGGAAAAAGAAAAAAATTGACACTCCATATTCTACCCTTCCTACAAACGCTCATGGAGCAGGGAATTTGAAATGGGGGAAGAGTTTTTTCCTCTCTGCGATTATATGTTTTTAATTTAAAAAGATACAACAAATATACTTAGTGTGATTGGTTATGATCTTTGCTTTTCTTTAAAGTGGTCATGGTTCAAATCCTAGTAAGTGTCTTTTTAATGAATAAAAAAAAGTAATTGTGAAGACCAAAATGTCCTTCCTACTTTCACTCTCCATGCAGGAAATTTGAAATGGGACTTCAAGTTTTCTCATTTGGCTTTTATTTATTGTGTAGATAATATACTATTGACTTTTCCAGTATAAAGTTTCGAATTTACAATACTTAATGAGTTAAAGTATAGGTGCTTTAAAGTACAACTTAAAGTTGTATCATATCCTTAAAAATATAAATTAAAGTTGTCTCATAAGAAAATTTCCGAAAGAGTTAGGTACAACCCGAAGTTGTACCATAACATTAAATATACAACTTCAGGTTATACTATAAAAACAAAAACTAAAGCACCAATACTTTAAAGCATTGCAGAATTCCTCCTGAAATTAATGATTTTTGACAATTATGATAAGTGTGTCAATCGAAGTTTAGTAATGAAATCCAACCAGTGAAATTAATAATTCAAGATTTAAGTCATGCTAGATTAAGGTAAAAAGATTCAGAAATTCGATATTGAAATCAATAATTAATTTCTAGAGAGAGCATCATGGTCACAAATAACTCTTTTCTTTGCTCTTGTATTTCACCTCTGGAAATTGGAACCATACTTTATCCTAAATATGATCCAAATACATATATAACAATAAAAAAAAGTAGCTATATGATCAAACATCCAATACTTAAAACTAAAATTCTTCTAAAATAACAGTCTAATAAAATCATCATTTCCTCTTCCTTTTGTTACCGCCTTCCTCTTCTGCTCTAAATTAATCTAGTGGAGTCTAAACCTTCTCATCAGCATCAGCAGTTTCCAGTTTCTGGAACTTGGTGCTGCTGTTCGCTGGGGAACTCCGACGCTCTTTGCCCCCAGGTTTCGATGAGGCATTGCCATACCATATCATCCCGGCCACAGCAATGATCATGCCAACAATCACATGGAAATTGAGGTCGTCTTTCCCGAAGAAGACGAAGCCCAAGATCAGCACGAGAATTGTCTTCATATGACCGAGGACCTGGAAGGAAACCGCGGTGAACCTGCCTATGCAGATGAACTGGCTGAGGTTTGTTCCAATGGCGATGGTGCAGGATAGCACTATGAACAGCTGCAGACAAACACAAGTACCAGTTTTTCAGATCAGGCTGAGGGACCACAATGAACGACCTTGATACCAAGAGGTTTTCTAAGACATATTAAGAAAAAAGTAATTTGCTTGATAAGCACCGGTGAACTGCTCGTCCCTTTCTAAAGTAAAAGGGTTACTTATGGATTTTACTGCCTTCAAATACATTTGACAACCAGATTTCTCACAGGGGAAGAATGCTTACTAACTAAATTGATTACATGCTCCCTACTGACTAGCTTTTCTGGAGCCATAATTTGATTGATTCTACAAAGTGATTGCGGTGAATGTTGTATCAAATGAACATCATGAATCTAAACTCAGAGTCCAACAAACAAACTTACCACAGACGTCAAGGAATAAGGATAAGCATCGACTCTTTTCGTAGTCAACCAGTAGTCAAGAAAGGGCCCCACTAAAAGTAGAGAACCAGCTTGAGCTGGAGCAGTGTGACCCAACAAGTTGAAGGAATTCAGAGAATACCTTCGCTGAAGATAATGTACATACTGCAAAAGTTCCATAGAACACATTGATTAATCAAAGAACGGACGAAAAGTGTAATTCCAGTCTATAACCAGCTGATCATGTAATAATAAGTTTCTCCAGAACATCTTTAATCTTAATATAGCAGCTAGGATTTGGCCAACCAAACCTCATAGATATCCTCAGTCAACATCAAAAGTAAACAAATCCATAAAACCCATGAGCATAAGGAAGGAGATACAGTAACCAAATCCATAAACATGGCATTTTCGCGTAAGAAACTACACAGAGGGTTTTACTCACATATTGCTGCAGGGCAGTGCTCCAAACAGCGACAACTGCAGCTAAAAACCCCTTGGTGTTGACACTGACATCCGTGACAGTACACACCCCTACACCGAGCAGAACTACTCCTATACTAAGCTTTGTGTCTCTTGAATACCGCATGTTGTCTAAGACAACTTCCAGAAAGCAAGAAACTGGTATCATTGTCAACTTTGCAATCTGAAAAGTTGTGGAGGGAAAATTTTGTAAATCCCATGTCAACACTGTACTGAGATTACAAACATTGCATATTTTGCTAAACCTCACCTGATAAAATCCAACCGAGTTCCACATCAAACTCACGTTCATCCCAACAATGGAGAAGTTTGCAAACAGAACGAACTTAAGAAGCTCTGATACTGGCAAGTGAGATGGCTGAATATACTTCATCCACCTAAGTGCAAGTGTTAACAAGGTCGTTGTTGCAAAATGCATACCGGTTAAGGTGGTAGCTGCAGGACACACATTGAACTCCAAAATCAGAGTCCAAACAATAACAGAAACCGTCTAAATAATGGAAATGCTCAGTGTAAGGAAGCCTGATCTTTTGTTTTTGAACAAATAGAATCACTTTCACTAGCAAGAAAGTGATGTTCGACAAGCATGATACTAGCTAAGCAGATCATAAGAGAATAGATGTCAAATCAAGAATTTTAATCCAGAGCTACCCATACCTATCCCATCTTCTCTAACATTGACGCAACTCGGTATAAATTCAACTTTTACAAGGGTAGACAAGCTAAGTAGGCTCAAACATCGAGCAACTCTAAAGCGCGGTTGTTAATCACATTGACAGCATGAATACATTCAGACCACATTCACTGATAATCAATATTCTTATGTTGAATCAATCTACTAAGAGGTCTTCAAACAATTATTCACTATCCTCACTATCCTGTTTTCATTTCTTTGCTAAACCCACATACAGTAACTTTTTAAAGAGAAGGGTAAAGTGACAGAATTTTGGGGAGAGAAGCCATGATAAGTATAAAAACGTACCAAAACTGAAGCCATAGGTAGCCATTAATGCCTTGTTCACAAGGATGATTACAACCGATGTGACTACATTGAACATCCATGCGGCTGCGTCCACAGCCGCCTTCTTATCAGTCTTACTCGAAGAAGACATCTTTTTTCTCCCCCCACTTCCCTCGGTAGCTCAATTAAACGCCATTGCTTCCATTTTTCATCAGCCTAACTTGGATACATTTATACCTGCAGCAAAATACCAGGTTAATCAAAGAAAGTATATAAGATCAATTGTCTCAAATGGGCTCCAAATTCCACGGAGGCTGGATTTAAAGAGTCGGAATTCACGCTCTGGATCTGTGTAGCGACTGCTCGTAATTCAGATCACATTAGGCTAATTTTTCCCCAATTGTGGATCAGTAGAAAGCAAATCGAGCAACCAAGAACAATTGAGAGAGTTGGAGATCATGATGAGAGGATAGTACCTCAACGACCAAAGATGGGCTCTGGGTTTTGATGGGTTCGTCGTTGTTTGCCCGGAGAAGCAAGAAAAAAGTTTCCTTTTTCCCTTTCTGGGAAACAAACGGAAAATGGAGGAGGAAACGCAAATGCAGGTGAGGAGCGAGGAAAGAATGAATTGGGCCGAAGGGGAAAGAGAGGAGGAGAAAGTAACGAGCGCAGCTGCGCAGGCCAAGTGAGTGAGTGAGTGAATGAGAGTATTAATGTGATCGAATGCTAAAATCAGCTGTTTTTTAGCTTATGAAAAGTAACATAATCGTACGAAAGACTGAATCATGATCGTCATAAGAATATATCAAAATTTGATTAGCAAAATAGCTTAACTAAGTCGAGGTTTAATCGTGATATAAAAATAAGTTGTGATAAGCTTTAAGCTCGATAATATTACACACTATTATGAAGAAATTTGCAATCATCTAGACCTGGTAATATGCTGTTGTTTCCTAAACACCTAAATGCACACCATTAATCTACTAGTATATGGGAATCAACGAGTACAACGTGACAACACAAATGCACTAAATTACGAACAGTTGCACTCATAAATCTATACAAAGATAGTGGCAAAACGTACTCAAGTAGAATGGTGTAAAACAGTTACCAAAAGAGTAGTCAGAAAGATGATATTTTTGAAGCGCCCATTACCTATCATCGATGTCAAGCTTCAAGACCCTTGTTGGCAAGTTACCCATTTTCGAAAACCATGCTTCACTGCTTGCAGGGCCGCTGTCCAGATACTCAAAGCAGGCATCCTTGATGTTTATGACAATCGCTGTGGCATGCTTTCGATACGATATGGGGAATTGGGGATGCACCACTACTCGCAAAATTTTGTATTCAAAGACGTAGATTAATGAAATCTTAGTCAAGTCTCGATTCACTCTACATGAAAGTATTGATCTTTGATTGCAGAAATCGAATGCTTACGAGTTCACATTTGTTGGCATCAATCTTACCCTCTGATAGATAGGACGTGTTTGACAAATGCTTTCTTACTCGATTGATCAAGAAAGCATCATCGTCGTCTTCCTGACTATTGTCACCATCTCGAATCTCAACCGCAAAAGTAATCGGAAAGATGAACTTTTTGAAGCAACCATTGTTAGCTTTTAGGGAACTCTTGTTTTATGTGGTCGATGCAGAGGTCAGACATGGAATTCACCACCCCAAACTTCCCAACAAGTTTGATGAAATCCTTACGTCTCCACATTCTCTTCTGAACATCTTCAAATATGATCTCCTCTCTGTAAATATCAAACAGAGCCATCTCTTGATGAAAATTTGCAATATCATATCAAGATTCAGCTTGTCTCCTGACGAAAACTTATAAGGGTGCATTTGGATAGGTGTACTGACGAAAATTGTTCGAAAAAATCTGGTTCTTTTATTTGTATTAAATTATTGATTTTTTTTAATAATCTCTATTATCAAAGTGGCATCCACATCATTCATTAATGGTCAATGGTGTTGACCGTTTAATTTGACGAACATTTACGGATCGGGCCAAAATAGTCTAAATAGTAAATCATTTAGGCCAAGATGGGTATTTTAAAAAGCATGGACCAAATTAGTATCCATCTATTCCTCGCCATAAAAGGACAAATTGATGAGATGATGTCGTTGAACTTACCGAGATAGCTTAGAATCGAGCGCGTATGTGAGAATTCGATGATGTTCCGTGCTCGACCACTCTGCATACAAGGCAATTTGATCCGACAGAAGCCTTGGATCTGGAGGAGGAATATCAAACCAATTAAGAATCAATTGTGTTCATGGTCCGATCTCGCGATCAGAATCTTTTCCAATCAATGCAAAAAAGGGAGGAAAAAAAATTTGCGGACGTAAAAGCTTACATTTCGCTTCGCCAGCTCTCATGATTTGCCTGCCAATTTCCGCGAGTATCTGAGCGATCCTTTTTCTTAAGGTACCAGTCCATCCGTCCGGCGATCGACCAGGGCTTGTCATGGCCGCAGTCATGGAGGCGGCGCCATTCGTCACGATCTCCATGCGGAACTTGGACCTCTGTGCAATCTGTCCGTTGACCGACTGGATTTCGACATCGACGCCGTCCGCTGCCGCAGAAGACGATGGCGTCAAGAGACGCAGCTTGGGGCAGGGTATATGGTCGGCGTTGTCAAAGTAAAACGAGAACAATAACACCGGATTTAACGTGGTTTCCCTGAGTGTCAGGACTAGTCCACGGGAGAGCCTAAACCCTCCAAAGTCAATCTTATTACGTTAAGGAAGCAGCTGTACAAACAACTATTTATATAGAGGCCACGCTAAACCCTAATGACTAAGGCTGGTAAATTACACAAAGGTACCTAAATTTAACACCCTCCCTCAAATTGATGTTGGGTGCGCAACATCAATTTGGCTGATAGGTACCAATGTCTACTAGAAGCCAATGCCTTAGTCAAAATGTCTGCGGGTTGATCTTCGGTTGACAGATAACTCAACTGTATTCTTCCTTCTGTCACCAGCTGTCTAATGTAGTGAACATGGACCTCTATATGCTTTGTGCGATCATGTAAAACTGGGTTGAGAGCAATCTGGATCGCACTAGTATTATCACCGTACAACTGCATAGGAACTTTGCAGTTAACTCCCAACTCCTTCAGCAATCTCTGCAGCCAAACCAGTTCAGAACTAACGTCTGACATCGAACGATACTCTGCTTCTGTTGATGACTTAGAGACCCGATCCTGCTTCTTACAGCGCCACGATACAAGTGACCTCCCTACTCTGACACACCAACCTGAGGTCGATTTTCGTGTGTCCGGGCATCCTGCATAGTCGGCGTCTGCAAAGGCCTCTAGGACTTCTTCACCCGTCGAAGGGAAAAATAGGCCAACGTCTTGCGTATGCTTGAGATATCGCAGGATTCTGTGAACTGCATCCAAGTGTTGGCTCCGTGCAACTCCCAGAAATTGACTCACCACCTGCACAGCATAAGAAATGTCGGGTCTAGTGTGAGTTAAATAAATCAAGCTTCCTACTAAGCTGCGATATAGAGACTGATCCTCCATTAAATCTCCACTGTCCCTAGTTAGCTTGAGATTCTGTTCCATTGGGGTTGTACACGGTTTGCAGTCTGTGTAGTGTGCCGTCTCAAGTAAATCTGCCATATATTTCTTCTGTGACACAAAGACTCCCTGTGAAGATCTTTGAACCTCCAAACCCAAAAAATATGACACATCACCAAGATCTTTCAGTTTAAATGCCCCATGAAGCGACCTTTTCAATTCCTGAATACCATCTGAATCACTCCCGGTGATTATCATATCATCGACATAAATCAACAGAACCACTACCCCATCAACTGTATTCCGAACAAATAATGATGGGTCATTCTGGCTCTGCTCAAAACCAAGCTGCACTATAACTCCATGAAATTTCTCAAACCAAGCACGAGGTGCTTGTTTGAGACCGTAAAGAGAACGAACCAGTTTACAAACCATGTCCGCAGAACCCTTGGTATATCCTGGCGGCCTCTCCATATATATGACTTCCTTTAAATCACCGTGCAAAAAAGCATTCTTCACATCCAGTTGAAACAGTGGCCAATTCCGCATTGCTGCAACTGCAAAGACACAACGAACAGTTTGCATCTTAACCACCGGGGCAAACGTCTCATTATAATCAATTCCATACTCCTGTAAGAATCCCCTGGCTACAACCCTGGCCTTAAACCTTTCGATCGTATCATCTGGGTTCATTTTAATATTATATACCCACTTACTGCTGATGACTGACATCTCTGGTGTTCTCGGTACCAACTCCCATGTATGGTTGGCATCAAGCGCATTACTCTCCTCCTGCATTGCCTTTTCCCATTCTGGATGACCCACTGCTTGTGCATAAGTTGTTGGGATAAAGATTGGGGTGGTAGCATAACCCACGTAATCATGTAATCTCAAGGGAGGTTGTCCCAAGGTACTACGACTGGAGCGCCTAGGAACAACGACCCCATTATTCTGGTCATCTCCTTCTCCACTTGACACTTCAATTTCATCTCCTGGTCCATCCTCATCATTTGTCGGCAACATAGAAGAGGAGCTCGAGGAGGAACCTGACGAGCTTGAGCTGCTGCCCGTCGAGCTAGAGCTCGTTCCACTAGCCACATGAGAAGAAGATTCCCCTTCATGCGAGGAGCTGGACGCCGACACCGAGGAAGACGAGGACGAGGTACCAGCTGGTGTCGAGGGAGTATGAGGGGCATCATCATCATCAGGTATCAAATTCCCTCCCTGACTCCCATGCTCACTCGACAACGTCAGCTCCGCAAGGTCGGGCACAAACTTCAAAAACTCCAAAGATGCAGCATGTGATTGCTTGTCCTGGGAAGACATGGAATAGTACATGACATGCTCAAGAAACAGCACATGATATGCAATTCGCATGCGCTTGCCGATCGGATCGTAACAACAATATCCTTTATGTTTTTCGCTGTACCCAACGAAAACACATCTAACAGTCTTTGGAGAGAGCTTATGACGTTCTGCCCGTGGCAGAAGAACAAAACATGTGCAGCCGAAAACCCTCAAACGAGAATAATCGGGCGGGCGATCAAAGAGCATCTGATACGGTGAAATTTGCCCCAATGTCGGAGTGATCTGTCTATTGATGAGATATATAACAGTATGAACTGCCTCAACCCAGTAGCCGCTAGGTACATGCGAGTGAAAAAGCAAAGCCCTCGTGAGTTCCAAGACATGTCTATGCTTCCTTTCTACAAGACCGTTTTGTTGAGAAACACCGGGACACGAAAGTTGAGTCAAAATGCCTTCAGACTTGTAGAAATCAAGTAACTCTTGCTTGATGAACTCCCCACCTGTATCTGAGCGAATAGTCTTAATGGTTTTCCCGAATTGTGTTTTGATCAGCTGAATAAACTCTTTAGCCAACGAACACAATTCCGATTTCCGTCGTAGGAAGTAAATCCAGGTATACCTCGTCTTGTGATCTACAAACAGAGCAAAGTAACGATATCCCATACGAGATGTAACTGGCGACGGACCCCATAAATCTGTATGAATTAAATCAAATGGTTCTGCATAAACTGTCTCACTTGACTCAAACGAGTTCTGAGAAGCTTTCGCTTCAATACAGCTCACACAATCCGACTGAGAGCCCACAGAATGCTCAAATTTCCCAGGTAATAAGTTCTGCCTAAACAT